ATACTCCTGGCCCATTGCACTCCTCCTCAGGCTGGGCTAGCCCTCGCGCCCATGGGAAGAGCCACTCGGCTCAGGGCTTGCAAATACAAAACGGAAAATGGGTGCGGGCAGAGAGCACCGGGATGGTTGTGTCGATCTGTGAATGTCCTGAACACAACCCGACTTGCTTGGGCCACCTCTGGGCTTCACTCGGTGCCTCCCTGTCCTCACTGCTATCCTCGACGGGTGCACGCAAGGCTGGGCAGCGCATGGCAGTGCCTCCCAGCAGTGAGGCTGTGAGTATGCACACCAGCCACCACGGCCAAAATAAACGCGGCAGCTGCAGCAACAAAAAACATACCTTGACGTAAATTCCTAAAGCTGAGAAAGGAAAGGAGGCAAGTGGGAATTTTCCCTCGCAGTGAGCGGGGCCATGTGGAGCAGAGCTCCGGCAAGTGCTGAGAGCTGGTTCTGAGAGCGCCTCAGGGTGATGAGCAGTGCGAGGGAGTGGATTTAGCTGCCGAGAGAAGCCGGCATTCGGAAATGAGACTAAAAAGCAACTGAAAATCAAGAAGTGTTTCTAAGTTGTTGCAAGAGGTTCCCTCTCCCCATTTTAAGGAAAAAACAGAGCATTCATTGATGAATAGATCTAAATGATCCCTCAGCATGATGGTGAGGGAGTCCCAACCCCATATTTTAGGAGACCACTTAGAAGACTGCTAGTCAAGAGGTGGGAAAACCGGGCGTGGCCAGACACCGATGCAACATAAGGCTGATTTTATAAATACCAGCCTGAAGCTATTTAAAAATCCCCATGTAAACATGGATTCCTGTCAGCATCAAAATCCAACACGCGAGCTATTTGGGGAATGATTGGTTTTCTTTCTTTTTGCAAACAAACTCGCTCCCCACCAGCAGAAGCCCCAGCTCCGTCAGGAGCAGAACAAGGCCCAGTTTCAAGCCTGGTGCAAGCGAGCGGACAGGACGGCAAGCAGGCACACTGGATGCCCGAAGTGGAGCTGCAGAGCCAAGCCTGGGCACACAGGGCCCGCCAGGGGCACGTGAGAGGCCTGGATGCCTCCTTCCCGCCCAGCCTTGGCCAGGAGCCGCTCTAGGCCCTTAGAGAGGCCCAGGCGCCTCTTGGAAAGGGTAGTGCCCACTGGGCCCCTGCAAAAGACCAGGCTGGTGGGGGCCCAGGCCAGGGCATCACCTCGCCTGCCATGGGAAGTGCCTATCCGGCCGCAGGAAAACGTCCCTCTGCAGAGTAGCTAATGTCCCCTTGTACCATTCAAGGGGGCGCATGGGAACCCAGAGAGCGCGAGGCAAGACAAAAGGACAGGCGCCCTGCAAGCAGCAGCTGGCCAAGAAGAAGGTGCTGTGGCTGGAGCGGGGCAGCTAGGAAATCACAAGTGCCTCCAGTGCTGTGGGAGCTGCTGGGGTGAAGGACAGCATGGAGGAACCTCTGCAGGAGGCCTGGTGCAGGAGGTCCACAGGAGGGTATCTAGCATGGAGGAGTGGGCTCGGGTGCCATCTCCAGGGGAGGTTGGGGTTAACATCATCTGACAGCTGCATGGTGTGTTTGGATAACGAGGGGTGCAGCCACCCGCAGCCGGCAGCACAGAGAGGACCAGGAGAAGATGCCGGGGATGGTGCCAGTGTGCAGCGGGAAGGACTTCAGGGCAGCAGCCCTTGGAGGGGCTTTCCCTGACTCGGGGATCAGTTCAGAGTTCCCATTGCAGCCGGCTGTCTATCGCACACAGCCTGTTCTTGCCCCCATCCCTCTGCTGAGGTGCTGACCCCCCTCCAGCATGATGGTCCCAGCAATGCCCATCTCCCAGCACATCCCAAGATGCTGCCTCTGGCCCTGCAGCTGTTCTGGCTGGAAATCAGTGTCTAAAATCTTAGCCAAGCAGCAGTTTGGTCTATAGCGGAGCCACCATGAGACCATAGCAGAGCGATAGCTCACCCACTGCCAGCCCTGTGCCTTCCTGCTGGCTGCCAGGGCTTGTCCTCGGCTCAGGGGCATGTGAGTGAGGAGGAGCTGTCTCGAAACAAGCTACTGGGAATATCTGCATGCAATCGCTCTCTCATATCACTAGGAAACACAACTTCAGAAACACCCAGGTTATGCAATGCCTGGGCAGAGCTGGCACCGGGGGCCTGGCAGCAATAAAAAGGAAGGGGAGCCGACACCCAGACAGAGCCCTGAGGGGAGCATGTCCCAGACATCAGCAACCACCTCCCACCTGCAGACACCATGCAGGTGGCCCCCGTCCTCCTGGCGCTCGCCCTGGCACTGGCCGTTCCCAGCTCCTCTGCTGAGCGGAAGGTAAAGGCAGCTGTGAGCTGGGCTGGCTCCAGGCATGGCCGGCAGTGCCGTGAGGCTGGGTACCGGGTGCTCTGTGCAGATCCCCTCTTTGCAGTGTATCCTGATAGGAACTTGGGTCAACGGCCTGGGCTCCAATATGACCATCAATGCTGTGAACAGCAAAGGCGAGTTTGATGGCTCCTACATCAGCTCTGTGGCAGACAAACCAAATGAAATCGAGGTATCTCCACTGCAGGGATTCCAGCACATCAATAAAGAACAGCCCACCTTCAGTTTCACTGTCAACTGGACTTTCTCAGGTGCTTCTCCCTTCCCCAGCCTCGCAGTGAAGTTCCCAACAGCCCCTTGACCTTGTCTGCAGTATCCCTGATGATCCTATGCCCTCTCCTGAGATGCAACTGATGCTCCCATGACACCCCTGTGGTGTCCCCATTGGTGCCTTGCCCTCATTCAGGACATCCTTGAGGATCCCTTGCCCTCGCCTCCCATGTGATTTCCTATCACTCCAGTACAAGAGAGACATGGCACTGCTGGAGAGTCCAGCATAGGGCTATGAAGATCATTAGGAAACTGGAGTATCTCTTCTATGAGGAAAAGCTCTCTCCAGAGGGCCCTTCCAACCTCTGCCAGTCTGTGATTCTCTGATGGTCCCCTGCCCTCCCCTGTGATGTTTCTGACAGTACTGCTACCTCCCCTGCAATGTCCCAGCTGCTGCCCTGCCCTCTCCTGTGGTGTCCCTGATGCTCCTCCATCCCCCATCCTGGAACTGTTTTGGTGGCGGCACCTCCCAGGCCTCAAGTATGACTCATGTCTGGGGTAAATGCAGTCTGGGAAGAGGAGAGGGCAGAGCCTGACCATTGCCTTTACCCGCCATCCTGTGGGGCGATTCACACCCCTGGTCTCTCTCTCTGCAGACTCTACCAGTGTCTTTGTGGACCGGTGCTTTGTAGACAAGCATGGACAGGAAATTTTGAAGACCACATAGCTAATGTGATTGCGGTTTGAGAGCATCCACAACAACTGGAATGCCACCAGGTGAGTCCCGGCAGCACAGGGAACACAGCCCCGTGCACACAGTCCTGGGCATGGAGCCAGGGAATAACGTGGGCAACATACCTTGTGCTTAACAGCCTTTAATCCTGCCCAGCAGCAGAGCAAAGAGTGCGGCCAGGAGGCAGAGTGCGGTCCTTGGTGTCAGCTGGAAGGTGCAATACTGCAGGGGGAATGGAGGCACCCAGTCCCTGGTGCTGCAGACGTTGGGTGCAGGGGGCCCGGAGACGTGTTACCCTGCACAGTTTCTGCGTCTCTAAGCTCCCTGGCAGGGTGCCAGGCCAGCAGGGCCATTCTGTTTCCCTCCCAAAAGCCTCTTTCCCCACTCTGTGTCCTGCAGAGTCAATGTCAACACCTTCACCCGCAAGGTGGCACCATGTGTAGTCTGATGGAACTGGGGGGTCGCGCTGCCTCTTCCTCCCACCACTGCCACGTCTCCAGACTGGGCTCAACCAGTGCAGGACCCTCGACCCCATCACCTCCCCCATTCTCAGTAAAGCTTTTCTGCAAGCGGTTACTCGGCTCTTGTCCCTCTGTGCCCTCCCCATGCCATCCCGGGCTCCCCGCGCCATCCCTGTCCTGGGTCAGCCCTGCTGCTGGGACCCCCACGTGGCGCTTCCCGCATCTCCAAGTCCAGAAGCCACAGCCTGTCCCAGCTCCCAGGAGCTGCCCGCGGCAC